CATTGTCCCCATATCAATTCCGTTGAACGATTCAAATGATTATTTTTTAACAGTTTCATCACAGGCAAACGGTACAATAGTTCAGAACCATTTAACAGAGTTACGCCATTTGCCAAATTCCATCACTCAATTTAACTTCAAGCCAATATTGCAAATCGATGTTTTGAAGGCTATAAGGCGGTTAACGTCTGAAGCCACTGGTTCTGACAGAATCCCAATTTCTTTAATTAAACGTATCTTGTTTGCTCTCCTCCCAACATTAACTTTCATATGTAATACTTCACTAAGATCAGGTATTTTCCCAGAAAAAGTGGAAGTCTGCGCTTGTCCGTCCCTTGAATAAAATCTCATCCCCATCGCTTCCGCAAGACTACAGACCAATTAGCATTCTTCCCGCTCTTTCTAAGGCACTAGAAAGAGTCATTCACTCCCAAGTTTCTGACTTCTTGGTACAAAACAACATCCTCGATAGCTTTCAATCAGGTTTTCGTAAATCTTACAGTACTGAAACGGCAATGCTTCATGTAACTGATGACATACGATTTGCTATGGATCGTAGCCAATGTACTATCTTAACATTATTTGACTTCAGTAAAGCCTTCGATACCGTAAACCATAGCATTCTTCTAGCCAAACTCAAACTGTTAGGTTTCTCTGATAATTCATTAAAATGGATGAGATCATATCTTCAGAGCCGAAAGCAGTGTGTTTCTCATGACAACTTGACGTCCGACTGGAGACATGTTCCCTGCGGAGTTCCCCAGGGTTCAATTCTTGGTCCTCTGCTTTTCACCATTTACATCAATGACATCAGTACAGTTCTACACCACGCAAAGTTTCATTTGTACGCTGACGACTTGCAAATCTATTCTCATTTTAAAGTGAGCAATGCAAATGAAACTATAAACATGATGAATCACGACATCAACAGAATTGTTCAATGGGCAGAAAAGAACGGACTTAGACTCAATCCTGACAAAACAAAGGTATCATAGGTCACTCACGGTTACTCAACAAAGTGGACTTAGACATTTAACCAAAAATCACTGAAAGTCTTGGTTTGACTCTAAACCGCACATTGGACTGGACTGACGCGGTGGTAAGCACTTGTAAAAGAGTGTTTGCCGCTGTTCACACACTAAAGAAGATGCAACGACTTCTACCTTTTCACATTAAACTCTTACTGGTCAAATCACTCGTGTTTCCACACTTCAACTACTGCAACACTGTGGTTAATGATATGACTGTGGCTTTGGCAACAAAATTACAACGTGTACAAAATTATTGTGTTCGATTCTTGTTCAAACTTAGGCGTGATGACCATGTCACACCCTATTACATTAATGAATCAATTTTGAAATTAGAGGACGTCAGAAAAATACGAATACTTTCCATTACTCATTCAGTCATCAATCTTGGAATTCCAAATTATCTTGCAAAGAATTTTAAATTTTTGAATGGAAGAGGCGCAAGGGATACCCGCTCTGGCTCGTCCACGCTTTGCATTCCTCATCATAGAACAACTGTTTATAATAAATCATTTTTAGTAACAGCCTGCCGCCTATGGAACTCCATACCTCCGCCCATCAAATCTATAGAAAACCGATCCCGACTGATGGTGGCGCTGAAAGAATATTACCTTGACCGGATGGCCGTGGCTTGGCGGGATGGCGTGCGTTAGGCCTAGATGCAGCAGAGGGTGTATGTGTGTGTGACTGTATGTTAGGGAAGATGAATAGATTTATGCTATTTTATTACTAGCTATGTTACAAACTTTATTGTATTTTTTGTTATTATTTTGTTGTTATTATTAGTTTTTTAGAGGTTAACTGTAAGAAAGGACCATGTGGTCCTAAGTTCACCTCAATAAAGAAGCATTTTCATTTCATTTCATTTCATTTTACACAGATCATCTCACTCCATTCAAAACCATCCTTCACTATCATATTTGGGTTGAAATACGCACATAGGTGTGGTGCCCCTCTCAATTGATAATATAAAAAAGATAAATTTAATATTTAAAGTTATTTTAATAGCTCTTTTTTATGCTTATGTATCACCATTGACTATATACCTATAGGTATATATAGTCAATGATATCACATAACAAACGTAGTTCAATTCATGACAATGCATATGTTGAGCTGTCTTAAACCATAGACAAATAGAATAAATATAGACTGTCAAAGGAAGGTTCCGGCGCCCACCGCTAGGAGTGCCGTGTAGTTACGTCGCACACCCAAGGCCCCACTAGAAAAAACAGGCCATGCTACAGCACAGGCAGCGCAACACTACGTCACAGTGGTGGATAGTTGTACTAAACTCTTACCATTAAAAACAGAAAGCTTGTTTATTTACCTAAAACATATGGGAATGGTGATGGCAACGAATTTATCAATGAAGTCTATCCACTAGTGCAACCAGCAGACGCTGCAGCGGTGTGCACCGTAACTACACGGCAAACCTAGCGGTGTATGCCAGAACTTATGCTAACCGCAGCACAGCCGACGGTCTATATTTATTCTATTTGTCCATGCTGAAACTTAACAAAGCTTAGTTAAATTTTAAATATTTTCCTTTCTCAGAGGGAGCCATGGCCTCCTTGGCTGCTCACCCACCAAACCTAAATGGTCCAGCTTATTATTGGGTGGTACCAATCCACCCAATACTTTCTGTTGAGTCTTTTTTACTAACAAAACTGGCCAAGCCGAAGTTGAAGTTTGGTAATGTTAATTTTATGTTCAATATATTAAACTACTGTACTAGTTGCTCGAAATCGAGCCATTGTCAAGTGCCAGTATTGTACAGGAGTTATTTTAAAACTAATAACAGTAATGATTTTTGATGAGTTTAAAAGACTCAACTAAAAGCTAATGTAACTAATGGAAATACTCACCCTGTTAGTAACAAACTGATATAATAAACACTTCTTGTAAATATTTTGTAATTTTTCAGAAGCTGGCCTTGTTTCCCGACTTACCCCTAGCTCCTTAGCTGTAACCAGTAAAAATTTCTTGCATTCTGTCGTTATGAAAGTTTACTTTACCACCGTGACAATGCAATGTGTATATTCCACAATGTGTACTTGTGTACATGTATCTTTTTCACTTCCAAAGTAAGCTACATAGCAGAACTGGCAAATATTGTTAATCTCTCCAAGTGAGTGTGTATCTGGATCCACTGTTAGACCAGGCCTCTATTCTTCTAGTCTTCTCATACACAAAATATCTCTTATTAATTGTCTCCTCCTCCTGTTTTTTAATATCTCTTCTCTAAACTCGAGGCATTTTCTGTTGTTCTTCCAAAAACTGATTACTGTACATTGGACAATGATATAGTCATGATAGTAGGGTGATTTAGAAATTGCCATGCTCATTGAAGAGAATTTAGGAGAGCCTCTTCATTCAAACTATCTATATAATTAATACGCTACATGAAACTTTGTCGGTTGAACTCCTCCGCCATTTCTAAACCGATTTTATCCATTGACGTCTCATTGGAAAGAGCGTGTCGCGTAGATTTGCAAACTGGCCTTACATTTTTTTAAAGTCCCTTGGGCTCTGCCCCAGTGGCTTTGAAAGTTCCCATGTTATCCTTATGGATAACTTAATTGTTTACATTTTGATCAGCTGTATAATTTAATTGCTGTTATTTATTTTTCAATCCTATGAAACGCATTTAGTACATTTATTTACTATTTCAGTTTGTGTAAACATAACCCCCAAGATGGATCGTGTTAGTATGGTTGTATCTTAAATTTGTGTATTTATCGTTGTTTTGTGTCGCTATGACGGGTCGTGCTAGCATGATTGTTACTTAAATGTGTGCATTTATCGTTGTTTTGTGTAGCTATAATTTGTTTATTTGTTGTTTTTTTTTCTTTTAAATGCCTCCGACGTGACGACAACGAAACATAGACAGGAGGCGCAATCGTGATAACGACCGCAGCTACAGAACAGTGGCACGTAATAGGCTTAACTCATCACAGTCAGCACCTGACCCTGGACAACCTCAAATATTAGGTTACAAATGCGCCCTAACACTACCCCAAAACGACTTTTCGTTCTCAATTGGCCCATTATCAATGACATGTGTTGCCTGTACAGCGAGGCACTTTGAGAAGGAGAAAACCGGCCGGAATGCTTTAAGTTTATCAATAACGAAGATGAACATGGTCTGAGTTACACACCGGTAATCTTTGAGTTGGCTATTTTAAACTCATTTTAAATATGACTGTTATTCATTTTAAAATAACTCCTGTAATACTTTGCAATTGCTCGAATTCGAGCAACATGTACACTAGTACAAAATTAAACAGCCACAAACACAAGACTAGGTAGCCTCCTATGATAATGGAGAAAATAGAACTATTTTTCTCCCTCCGCCCTCTCCGAGACTTCTCTTTCCATCTGCCTGCAGCATAATGTCATCATGACCATTTACCACGTTCCTCATAACCGTGGGAATATCTTGGAATTCCCCTGAGGTGGCGAAGTCATCACCATCGTCTCACGTGACCACATCTTGATATTCTTCTACGGCCATAAAGACATTGTGTTTTTGCGATGAACATATATGTTAGTCATGAATAGCCAAAATTTATGCTGCAAGTGTTAATGGAGAGTATACAAAAATGTATGAATTATAAAATCCCCCCTCCCCAAATCAAAGTGGCGCAAGGGTGCCGTTGACTTCTCCTCTGGGCACCCATGTTGATTGATTATGATCTTATCCCTGAAAGATGTATTTTGTTTACATTACAAGAAATAGACAGCTTTATATGCCATTGGTATTTTTTTAAAATTACCAACTTGGTGCAATAGTATCTACCAACCACGTTATCTATCTAAGTCAAGTTGAAAAAAGTCAACCCTTGTGTTTTGATGGATGACAGGGTAGAGCAAACCTCAAAGTTTGTATACTGGATGATGTTGTCTATGCTGTAGCCAGTTGGCAGTAATCCCCAGTTATTTTCGTCTGCTGCTTTGCTATTGTTGGACTTAGTAGTGGCTGATCAGCTGTTCATTGACATTGTGGATAGTGGAGTGTTTCTATCATTTCATCACTGGTGTTTTCTTTAAGGATTTAACTGTAAGTTGTAAGATTCAGTAATATTTTGTTTCCGTTGTAAAATGTTAGTTTCTGTTTCCCTATATTATTATTATTTTAGCGAATTTCCCTATAGGGAATAAGCTATTACCGTAGTACTCATGGTAAGACCTGGACCTGGGACCGATTTACTTTTTCGTTTGAGGTCCCTAGAGGCCAAAAACACCATCCGTTGAAATTCATATATATATATATTTATTTATTGAATAAATATATCGTTCACTATTGAGGGCTACTATTATTATTAATAAATGAAATAAATAATTAAACATTTAGTACCCTTTAAGTTATTAATTTATTGAATAAACTTACATGTTTCGGCTCTTAGGTCATGATCACAGTTATGAACAAATAGTAAATAAATAGAAATGTAAATAATAAATAAGTAAATTATCATATGATTTCAGAATTTTGTCTAGTATATAGCACGAATACTAGAAAAATACCGGTATGGATCATAAACATAAACAAATGACGTTGTTGGCCCGAATCCTATACTAATAGCATTGAACATATGTTTTGGCAGTTCCATTTAAGCAATGTTAAATCATGTTTATTTTCGGGCCAAAAACGTCATTTGTTTATGTTTATGATCCATACCGGTATTTTTCTAGTAAACGTGGCAGGGGCGGCTCCAGGAATATTTTCTTGGGTAGGCCTGACATATATCATGAAAGAGTTTGATTGGGGGACGAGAGGTTTGAAGACTTTCCCCGCAAAAAGGAAGGAATTTAAAAATTTACATGCAAAATAATAAGTTTGAATGCTTTCCCTTTATTTTCATATAATCAAATTTCTTTACTTATTTATATATTTTTTAAATCTACCAAAACTTAGGGTAGGCCTGGGCCTACCTGGCCTGCCCTCTGGAGCCGCCCCTGAAACGTGGCATATAGGTTGGCTAAGGTGTTGTTTTCTTTTGATTTATTATATAAGATTTTTTCATATACAGTATTATGTTTTCTTTTTGAATTTGCATTGTATTAAGTATGTTTTCAGGATCTTTTTTATGGTTTCTATATATGTGGAATTCTTCTTTAATATATATATATATATATATATTTAATATATATATTTATATATATATATATATATATATATGTGTCCGTTAGCACGATAACTCGAGCAAAAATCATCCGATTTTGATGAAATTTGGTACAAACGTGTAAACCTACGTTTATTCGAACGAGTTCGCGAACCAGCATGATCGGACTATGGGAACAGGGGTTTATGGGGGGTTTTACGGGGTAAAAATTGGTTTTTCCCATTTTTGACCCTAAAAAATTAAAATTTAGCATTTTCTTTCCAAACTATTTTGTAGAGCTTAAAAAAAACAAATAATTTGGTATGTTGAAGCGATGTTATGCGCCTAAAAGCTACCGAGAAAGTTCCAAAAAACTGTAAATTTAAAATTCCCATGTTATTCTTATGGAGAATAAGTAAACCAGTAAACTGTTGTAGTTTGCTTGTTTATGAACATATTTTGATCAAATTTGGAAAACGCATTCATTTTATACTAAACCATTAACATTAAAAAAAAAAAAACACCCCTTTTTACCCTCCCTGTTGCAGCAAACCTAAGTACTTATTAAACTAATGATATTTAAATAGGGAATAAATGTGATATTTTTAAGGAGACATTTTAGTGTAAATCCAATCAGGCAAATGGAAATTCGCTTAGTCTGCAGGTTTGCTGCGGCAGGGGTATTTTGTTTGGTTTTGTTTTGAGTTAGATAACTTGATGCGTTTTAAAAGCTGACTGTAAGTTTCTTTATCTAGGCAAATTAATAAAAGCCTATTTAGTAAGGACAGCTGGTTACAGTTTCAAACCATGAAAAAGCTAATGACTTTTTTCAGGATCGAACCACTGATTCTTAAACCAGCACAAAACATCCATTTGCCATTTGAGAGTTAGTTGCCATTTTTTGAAAAAATAGGACATTATTGAATTGGTGATGAGACTGACAAACAGTATTCAATGTATTTTTTTAAAATTCCAGCTTAAGTTACTAAAACACTGAAAATGTTTCACTGTTATTTTCATAACAAACTCTGTTGGCATTAAAATTGATTCATTAAAAACAACAGCTTAATAACATCATTTTGGAATCAGAGAAGAAACTGACGGGATTAATGTTACCTATATTTGTAGTTACATTTTGTATATCTCTAGGAATGGTCTTTCATCCACTTGATCATGCTTTCTTATTATAAACAAATATTGCATTCATTCATACAGATATTCAAGGTACCTATTCAACAAGGTTTTTCCATTTTGACTTTATCTAATTACTGACCTATTTCATAAGCTTGACATTAGCATGGGCGTCCATAATACTTTTCTATAGGGGGGGGGGGGGCTGGGAAGATTTGGAATAAACCCCAGTAAAAAGTTTGGTCTTAGGAGTACTTAAGAAAATACCCCCGCCCGCAGCAAACCTGCAGACTAAGCGAATTTCCATTTGACTGATTTGATTTACACTGAAATGTCTACTTAAAAATACAACATTTATTCCCAATTTAAATAGAATCAGTTTAACAAGTACTTAGGTTTGCTGCATCAGGGAGGGTAACACTGTTTTTTTTTTTGTAAAATGTTAATAGTTAGTAAGAAATAAAAACGTCTTCCAAATTTGATCAAAATATGTTCATAAACAAGCAAACTACAACAGTTTACTTATTCTCCATAAGAATAACATGGGAATTTTAAATTTACAATTTTTTTGAATTTTCTCCATAACCATTAGGCGCATAATCACGCTTCAATATACTAAATTATTTGTTTTTTTAAGCTCTACAAAATGGTTTTGAAAGAAATTGCTAAATTTTATGTTTTTTGGGTCAAAAATGGGAAAAACCTATTTTTACCCCATAAAACCCCCCGTAAACCCCCCTTCCCATGGTCCGATCATGCTGAATCGCGAACTCGTTCGAATAAACGTAGGTTTACACGTTTGTACAAAATTTCATCAAAATCGGATCATTTTTGCTCGAGTTATCGTGCTAACGGACACATATATATTGAACCATGCCCTCGCGCCTGCACCCAGACTAACGAAAAGGAAGCGTGATCCATGCGCAGGCCCGAGGAGCGGCTCACAAAACTTTACTTAACAAAATGAGAACCATGGATGGAGGCTCAAGAACAACACGCCATTTGAGAGAAACGAGCTGTAATTAACCATTTAAAAGAATAACACAACAACAATAATTAACAATAATACATGAATTAAATACTCTCAATTAAACTTTAAAAAATTTTGATACCCGTTTACCCTACTAACTTACAATTATTTCATTAATCATTTTCAAATAGGCTAAATTTCAAAAATAAATCTTACTAGCTTTTACCTTTCAAAAAAACTTTTAAATTAACAAATTACAACAATGATATATATAATGACTCTTATAATAAATTCATTTTATCTGGTAACTATAGAAACTTTAGGGGCCCCAAATTAGAATTCAATAGAATATTTAATAAAATTATAAAATTTAAAAAAGATCAACAAGTAGCCTAAAGAATTAAAATTTAAAAAGAATAACAATTAATAAACTATGTATAGGCCTATAACAATAATAATTTCAAATAGTCTCTTGGGTTGCTTTTTTTTATAAATAAAATCAAAAAACATAACGACAGTGGGTAACTTGCGGTAGTGCGGTTGGGTTTTGGGCCAGGTCTAGAAGTTCAGCACCGGAGGGGGAACCAAGCAGGGCGGAGAGGGGGCCAAGGTCTACGAGGCAGCCATGAGTTACAAATTTCCTCCGCCAAGGTCGAAACGGTCCAGTGCATAGTCCTCCTCACGGGCCCCAAAAGGCGCGCGTGGCGCGATAAATTTACACCATTGCGTAGCAGAACAAAAGTAAAGAACAATTAACAAAACTGCTTTGCAAAAAATAAAGCATAGAAACAGATGTTAAAGGATAAATTTGTTCTGAAAATCCTCTGCGAGGCAAACGGCTCTCACGTCGCTGAACCTATGAGTTGCTGGCGGAAAGAGTAAGAAAAACAAGACTCACAGCCTTGTTCGGGGTCGTGAAAGTGACAACGAAACACTGAACTAGCCTACTATAAAAAAAAACTTGAACCATTGATCATGAGTCGTGACATTCGCCCGGTGGAAATAGTCACGGCTCAACCTCCCTCCCCAAAAGAGGACACTCCTCTCCAAAAGGGACAAACAAACAAGCCTCTCCCCCACTTCCTGAAAAGAGATTGACCTGAAAGACAACTCAAGTGTCTGTGGTGGGGAACGCCAAGGGACTTCCAAACTGAGGGGAAAACTCACCCCCAGGGTTTGCTCTGGCCAGAGCTGGAAAATTTTGTGAGGGAAATTCCTTCGCAGAACACAGGGGACAGGAGAAGTGATCAGGTTCTCTGGCCCAGTGCACTTCCCACCCAGACACAAGAGGAAAGAAAATTGCCTACGGAAGAGTTCCGCGGAAGGGCTTGAGATGAGAAATGTGCGCCCTCCGGAACACTTTTCCAGTCCGCGGATCTCCAAGCTCCGCCGTGACAGGCGTCAAAAACCTCAGGATGCGGTGGGGACCTGACCACCGATGACACAACTTTGCAGCTCTCTTGTCCACAGCCGAACTGGCTGGATGAGCTTTACAAAACACCAAATCCCCCACCTGGAAAGGGTTGTCTACTCTACCACGATTGTGCTTCCTCCGGACCAATTCCCTAGCTCTGATCAAGTTTCTCCTGGCCGCTTGCCAAGTTGCCTTGACATCAGCCGCACCAGGAGGTGGCAGAAGGTCGCCAATTCCCCACACATTCGCTAACGGGTTGTTAGGCGGATAGCCTAGAAACAGCTCGAAAGGGACCGCCTTGTGACTCTCATGGTGAGCAGTATTGAAAGCAAACTGAAGCCAAGGGAGTTCCTGATCCCAGGTGGTCTGCTTGTCAGCATGGAAAGCTATGAGAGCGGAACGAAGATTGCGATTGAACCTTTCAGCATGAGAAGGCTGTGGAT